TTTTTTTTTTTTTTTTTTTTTTTTTTTTTTTTCACTCGCGTCGCTATAACATGAGGGGGGACCGGACCGTTACGGATTCCCCAGGGCGAGGGCGGCAGCATATTCTTGATGCGGTGAGGTTTTCTTGTTCTTGTTCTTGAGATTAAGGGGTGAATCTATTCCCTGGGGAATAGAAGTTTTTGACTGGGAACACTAGTATCCAGTAGGTAGGTAGTAAGCGAATGAGCAGGTGAGTGTTAGGTCAAGTTTAGCCGAGTGAGAGTAAGTAGGTTGTCTTCGGATTTTGGGATGGGGTTGGGAGGATGAATCAATACCATTCATTGATACAGTCCATAGGACAGGCTGTATGGTAACTTAGAAAGTCAGCGGAGCTGAGGCCGGGGGGTCACACGGACAGTCCAGAAAGGGCTCTCTGCTCGGCTCGGCTCTGCAGCAGCCACACTCAGCAGCGCACCTATTTGTAGCGTTCCCCATCAAAACTCCACCTACTAGGTAGTAGTTTAGTGGTCCGGTTGGGGTGTCTACCAGGCGGGAACCAGTCACGGGTACTAGGAACTGTTTTGTACATACCTCCTCCGTATACTCCGTACAATGCGAAACAAAGAAGGGTGCTACTGCTACTAAGTTCCCAGGTACCTACCTATCTATCCTATTCAACTCAATACAAATCACGTCAGATAATTGTCTATAACTTAGTGCCCTACGGTAGATACATTGCTCAGCAACCGACCAATCCACCTCCCTGTACTTGCAGGTGCGTCCTGCTTTGGAGGTAGCAGGCTTACAGGCGGGACGGGACTCATACCACTCTCGTCCCCGTGGTATAACTATATACTACTAACTTAATCACCCGAACCACCTACATTGGAAATCAAAACATGGTGGATCAGAACAATGTGTTCTGTTGTACTGTATGGACTGTACCCAGCGAAACCAGTGACGAGTGAATGCCTATCTTATATGTCTGGAGAGAAACCAACCACCTATGTCAGCTCCATCTCTTCCCCCGACAAGACAATGTGATACAGATGACCGCGATATGCTAGAAATCGTAGAAAAGGAAATCAATGTAAAGCCTGAGTAATGAGTATGGAAGATTATTGCAGAGATGGTTTACCTGGGTAGCTTTTCCGCGGTGGTGTGCGGGTGAAATTCAGAACAATATACTCCTGGATCAGCTTGTCCCTCAGCAGGGGGTAATACGGCCCCTTGTTTTTGAAGCGTTGCATATGCTGCTGGATCCGGTCGCCGCTGCGAAGCAGGCCTACTCCCCACTGCTTTTGGGGCACCAGGAGATCCATCCGCCCGCTCCGGATCCCCGTCTTGATCAGATACTCCGGGGCGACGGTGATATGGCGTTCGATGAGCAGTGGGAAGAGGCAGCGGTAGAACTCCTTCTGACATTGGTCTTCAATCGGCATCGCAGGAGTACCTGCGAGCTGGTCGGGGTGGAATCTGCGGATCGCGTCGACCGCCATCTCGAGAGGGGACTGATAAACGAGTTCTTTACGGGGGTCGCTTGGCTTGAAGAGGAACTGGCAGTACCTAGGTAGGAGAAAAACTTGATCAGCCCCCAGCAAGATCTGGCAGTTCTCTTAAGCTTAAATCATCGACAAAAGTGAACGTACCACCGATGAACCTGTGTGGGGAACATGTAGTATGTCTCTCCTCCCTCCATCTGCCATCCGCGTCTCCAGATATCTTCGAGCGCCTGCTCTTCATCCGAGTCGCTGGAAAAGCTCGACCGGCTCGTTCCGTCGCAAGCAATGGCATGCTTCAAGACCGTCGCGTAAGTGGAGTTTTGCATCATCTTCTGTCTCGGTAAGCCTCGGGAGAAGATGGTGGTCCTGATATGCTCGAAGAACAGCAGAGCATCACTGAAAAGCCCGTCGCATGTGGTCTGCCAGTCGAGGGGGCGAGCTCTGGATCGGCCTTTGGAGCTTCTAGTTATTTGGGAAAGACTGGTTAGCTAGGCTATGTAGGGTCTCCCTCGCCCACCAGCTCGCGAACATTGGCTTACGCTTACCGGTATCGCTCGCAGGACATGTATAAGGGATGTAAATAGCCCAGCATGGCCGCCACTGGTCAGGAACAGTCCGTGTTTCAATCCGTCCGTCAAGATCTGCTCACTATCTGGAATCACGGTGGGCAGGAAATGCGGAAGGATGTCGTTGGCTTCGCTCTCCTCGAGCAGCAAACCAATCGGCTTCCACTCTGGGTCGATCGCTTCGTCTGGCCGGAGGGATATTTGCTGGTGCGGAAGGAAGGTCATCATCGGGGTGGTCTTGAATGGTTGATGGTCGTCGTCTGCGGCCGTGCCGTAGCGGGCGAACAGGACGATCTTCGCTGCGTCGCCGGGCCCGCAGGACTTGAAGAGCGCACTCCATAGCTGCCTGTCTCAGTATGATTCGTGTGCCTCATCCACCAGGATGTAACACGGATGATTCCGGAGCGAACGTCCGGGAACCCCGATCAGTGCTTTCAGATAAAGGGTCCGGCCGCCGGCTTTCTCGACCCTTGCCTCTTCCCAGCCGTCCAGGATATAGATCGGAGTGTTCGGGTGGCGCACGAGCAACTCGTTGGCGACGAGATTCATCATCGTGGTCTTCCCGGGGGCAGGGGTCCCGTTCACTCGAATCAGGCAGTAGCGGTCCAAGCGGGCGATCAATTCATGGACGAAGTGAGGTCGCTTAGCAGTCCACGATGGAACAGCTGCAAAGGGTCAACGGCAGGTTCCCCTTCCCACATCAGAGCGGTACGTACGCACCTTGGGGCTCGGTTATCTGCGCCACGGGAAGTCGAGAGCCGGAAGACCCTGGCGATTAGATCAATGATATACCTTGGATGAAGAAAACACGGGAAACGAACCATAGCTGCCATGCTTGCTCAGGGGATGTGAACATATGTTACACTTTGCTTTGCTGGGAACGTGGTCCAGATTGAATGTGCTTTCTCCCGAGGCGCACTGGCAGCCTCTCACTTCACAAGGCCCTATGGCAAGGAGTAGTCTCTTGGCTTCAGTCTCCAGCATAGCGGAGGAAAGCGAATCAGGGTATAACTGGGATGAGCTCGCCATGGTGATAGTCCTACACTAGAAACCTATAAGTGACTTGGCTCGCAGTTCCACGCTGGAACTCTTATCTCTGATTTTCCTGACACGAGGTGGAGAGAAGCACATGTACAGTGATCAGAAGTGGGGGATTGAAATTTAGCAGCAGCGACAGTTGATCCGGCAAGGACGCTACATCTCGAGTCTCTACATCCTAAGTCAAGAGTATTTCACAGTTGAGTGATTCTCTCTTTGTTGATCAAAGCGGGGGTGGCTGGCGGGACAGGACAAAGAGCCGTCGGCATGGGATAAACTCATGAAGGGCTATACCTGAATTACATAGAAGCCGCAATAGATGCGTGCCCCATGAGAAGGCTCCTCTTGGAGCTATAGTAGTGGTGGGTACTTAGCAAAGATACAGCAAAGGAGCAAGAGGTAGTAGTGGAGATGTAGGGCGGAGTACATGTTGTCTACAGGCAGGGCAGCCGAGAGGTGGACCACGAGATGGCAAGGTGCTGTCGATGACAATGAAGCCACTCACGCGCGCCGTTCGGCTCCGACCAAAGACTAAATACAGCAAGGGTTGAAGGGGTTTTCTCATCTCCCCCGTAAGATGTGCTGTATCCAGGCACGCCTCTGCCGCACGCTGCAGGCCGATCATCTGGGCGAGTCTAGGCCTTGATGTACTGTAACAAGCAACTACCCTGTGCTGTGTACAGCATACAGTAAGCGAGGAGGGTGCGTGTCGGGCGGCCGGGGCTCCTTTCTCTCTTTAGTTGCTGCACGGTAGGGTTCATCGTGTGATTCTTATCTGTCACTTTCCGGCATGAGAAGTCTAGCCTTTAAGCTCGGAAAGGATATGCGCGGTATTGCAGGATGAAAGAAAGGGGAGGCAAGGTGGTTAGGTTTGAGGAATGTGGTGTGGTGTGGTGTAGGTGAGGGTTCCTGTAGGGGTCGTATCTGCGATCTGGGGGCGATGGGCAGGAAGGAGAAAGAGTGCGTTGAGTCTATCAATCCAAACGAGCCAAGAAGAACAATAAAGCAGCAACAGATAACCGAGTGAAACATCCGCCCTGCACCAACGATCCTCAAGTTCTTCCGACCCGTTAACCGTTCTCCACGGTCGGAAGGCGTACCTGTCAATCCGTGGTGGCCAGCACGGGTGGCAGAGGGGCCCCTTCAGGGACCTAACCTGCACACACTGGGAGAGGAGGGGGGTGGGAAGAGTAAGATCCTCGAATCGCAACCTGCCATGGGAGAGAAAGATTCGACCATTGCCTCCGATCGGAATTGAGTTGGAGGCTACTTCCTGCCAGGTGGTGGTGGCAGTGGTGTAATGATCACAATAATTCCGGTGGGGAGGAGATCATTCGTGCTCCGGTCCTGTCATGTTTGCCTCAGTTGAGAGGGGAATGGGGGGAAGGGACCTTTGTCATCCAACCAGCATGGCCCAAACCATGCTCCTGTG